TTTGTTAGTATGCTTGAAGTATTATTATTTTTATGTCAATATTAAACTTTTGTCTTGAATCATTCGGATCTGAACATGCCACAATAAAGAAAATTACATTGATAATTATGTTAGGTAGCATTCCACATCAAAAATTCTATTTTTATCATTTACCTACTCAAGGACGAGCAGGAATTAAGCTTGGGGATGCTTGATACGTCTCCAACGTGTCTATAATTTTTTATTGTTCCATGCTATTATATTATCTGTTTTGGACATTTAATGGGCTTTAATATGCTCTTTTATATTATTTTTGGGACTAACCTATCAGCCGGAGGCCCGATGCCAGTTTTTGTTTTTTTGCCTATTTTAGAGTTTTGCAGAAAAGGAATACCAAATGGAGTCCAAACAAAATGAAACATTTGTGATGATCTTTCTTGTACCGAAGCAAACCAGAAGACTTGGAGTTGAAGTCAGAAATGCCACGAGGCGTCCACGAGGCAGGAGGGCGCGCCTAGGGGGGTAGGCACGCCCCCACCCTCATGGCCCCCTCGTAGCTCCACCGACGTTCTTCTTTCGCATATATACTTATACCCTAGAAACATCAGGGGAGCCACGAAACCACTTTTCCACCGCCGCAACCTTCTGTACCGTGAGATCCCATCTTGGGGCCTTTCCCGGCGATCTGCCGGAGGGGGAATCGATCACGGAGGGCTTCTACATCAACATCGTTGCCTCTCCGATGAAACATGGGTAGTTTACCACAGACCTTCGGGTCTATAGTTATTAGCTAGATGGCTTCTTCTCTCTCTTTGATTCTCAATACAAAGTTCTCCTCGATGTTCTTGGAGATCTATTCGATGTAATACTCTTTTGCGGTGTGTTTGCCGAGATCCGATAAATTGTGGATTTATGAACAAGATTATCTATGAATATTATTTGGTTCTTCTCTGAATTCTTATATGCATGATTTGATATCTTTGCCAGTCTCTTCGAATTATCAGTTTAGTTTGGCCTACTAGATTGATCTTTCTTGCAATGGGAGAAGTGCTTAGCTTTGGGTTCAATCTTGCGGTGTCCTTTCCCAGTGACAGTAGGGGCAGCAAGACACGTATTATATTGTTGCCATCGAGGATAAAAAGATGGGGTTTATATCATATTGCTTGAGTTTATCCCTCTACATCATGTCATCTTTCTTAATGCGTTACTCCGTTCTTATGAACTTAATACTCTAGATGCATGCTAGATAGCGGTTGATGTGTGGAGTAATAGTAGTAAATGCAGAATCGTTTCGGTCTACTTGACACAGACGTGATGCCTATGTTCATTATCATTGCCTTAGATGTCTTTATAATTATGCGCTTTTCTATCAATTGCTCGGCAGTAATTTGTTCACCCACTGTAATACATGCTATCTCGAGAGAAGCCACTAGTGAAACCTATGGCCCCCGAGTCTCTTTTCTATTATATTACATCTCTTTTCCATTATATCACATCTCTTTAAATCTTGTTTACTATTTTGCAATCTTTACTTTCCAATCTATACAACAAAAATACCAAAAATATTTACTTTACTATCTCTATTAGATCTCACTTTTGTGAGTGACCGTGAAGGGATTGACAACCCTTTTATCACGTTGGTTGCAAGGTTCTTGATTGTTTATGCAGGTACTAGGTGACTTTTGTGTCGTCTCCTACTGGATTGATACCTTGGTTCTCAAAATTGAGGAAAATACTTACACTACTTTGCTGCATCACCCTTTCCTCTTCAAGGGAAAAACCAACACATGCTCAAGAGGTAGCAGCGCACCATCTCCAAACATTACCCAAAAAAACGCATACATAGATGGGCAGTCATTTGCGTGGGTCGACCGGCGCAGGCTTTCGCCGGTCGTATGGGCATCGCCCGATTGGAGAACTCACAGCCGTCATATTAGAATCTCTTCTCCCCACGAGTCATCTCACTTCTTCCCCTTGTAGATCTCGTTCTCCTATGCGTTGTGCGCCCACACTATCATCCCCCGCCCGCACCACCAGCAGGCACGTCTTCGGCCACGACCGCTGCATACTCGACATGCGCGCGGGCGCGGCCCATCGCCTCCTCCATTCGCTCCCGTTCATCTCCTGTTGGAAGCAAGTTCTGTTCTGACGGTTGAAGCTTTTTCCTCTAAGGTTGAAGCTATTTCCCCGACGGATGAAGCTTTCTCCATCGAGGTTGGAGCTTTTCCCCTAACAGTTGTAGCATCCATGTGATGTACTACGCCGGTTCTAGCATCCGCCGTCGAGGTCGCAGCTCCCCGTCGCTGCACCACTTGCAGCACGCGCTCACCGCGGTGGTAGCAAAAAACAGTACCGGTCGTAGCAAAAATCATGGTCGCCGTGGTCACCCATGTCACCGCTCATCGCACCACCGCTCGCCGGTTGCAGCAAATTCGGTCACTGGTAGTAGCTTTCCCACTGCCGGATGCAACAAATTTGCAGCCTGATGTCGCCAGCCACACTTCATTGTCTTCCCAGTTGTAGAAAATCTGTGAGCCGGTGGTAGCTTTCCTGGTTGCCCGTTGCAGCAAAAATTGTGGCATTGTCATCCCCAGCCACGCTCGCCGTTGCCTGGCTGTAGCAAAAATCTAGGCCGGCTCCAGCTTCCCCGACGCTGGTTGTAGCTTCTAGCGGTGCCAGTTGCAACAAAAACGAAAAGAGATGTGGCTGAGTATGTCACCGTCGTATAGAGAAACCATGTGCTCAGTCAGTGGTAGCACCGATGGTGGCGGCAGCCATGGCCTTGGAGTGCAGCGGCACTAGAACGGCTGGAGCCATGGCGTCTTGTGCGATGGGGAAGAAGAACAGGAGAAGGCCTGCGTTTCACGAGGAAGAAAGTGAGAGGATGGGGCGTCCATGAATAGATAAGGTAAAAGCTACAGTGTGTGGGTCCTGTCCAGCGCAGGCATGTGAGGCACACGATCTGAAATGATCAGATGTCTTGCACAGGACCGACGCAATACTTGGCCGGCGGGCCGACTCGGAACGTTTTCCTACACAGATGCTCATACATACACAAGCTCACCCTTGTAAACTCATGCACACTCTATCTCTACTAGCACTTCTGAGAGACTGAGATGCAACATCATCTTAAGATTCATAAAAGTTGTCAGAGACATCTTCATAGCCGATTGGACGCACATCATCAAAAGACTTGAAATAAACCTAAAAAAATGCGAGATATCAAGTCTGGAATTTGAACTCGGATGGGCTGGAGATGTCAATGTTCTTCTAATCATTAAACCACATATTGTTTCCCAAACGCTTTTTCATATGTAGAAAGGGGTTGCAAGTGAGGTGCTTTTTTCAAGAGAGCTCCTATACCACCTTAGGGTATCTTCATTGCTGACCCGCATATTTGCTCCGATATTTGTCTGCGGACAAGCGGGACCAGTCTGCGGACACGAATGCGGAAGTTGACCATTGAACGCTACTCGCATACATCCGACTCTATTTTTTAAAGTTCACACGATCAAATAGCCGCACATATAGTCTAAAATAGTTCAAATGTTCAAATGCAGCAATAGTTCAAATTTCAAAAGGTTCAAATATTACACTCCAACATTGTCATCCCTCTTAACAGCCCATAGATGCTCAATCAGATCTTCCTTCAGTTGCTCGATGCCAAATTTATTGATGCATTTGAACAAACTCTTCAAATGTGGCTAGATTTTGATGGGGAAGTTTAATAGGATCACGGATGTTTGAGTAAATTGCTGAAAATAACCACATTTGCGGCTAGGATACTCTAAAACTACCTCTTTTGCCAAAAATAACAGAAGGCCACCACTTCTTCGGCAAGTGAATAACATATTGCACTAAATGAGCTGTGAATCGCAACTAATAGCAAACCTGAAAAGTTGGGCCTACTTGCGGGGCCAGGGGTGTGGATGCGCAGAGACGGACGCTAGTGGCGTTTGAAAATAGGTTCGGGCCCACGCACACACCGACCCACTCCCACTCATTCCATCCCCATGGTAGATCTCGCCATGGCCGCAACTGGAGCTCTCTGCTCCTTGCCGCCGTGGGAGCCTTCCCTCCTGCAGGGCGCCTTTGAGTTGGGGGCGCAGCCGGCGGAGATGCGAGTGGAGCCGAAGGACCCCAGCGGTGCCAACGACCCAAGGGACGGTTCACGGAGCCTCACCCTCTCCCGCCCCAACACGTCGGCGCCGTTCCACCACCGACGCATTTTTGCGTGAAAAACACCTCTCTTTTTTTCGCGAGAGGCACAATTTTGCTTCTGTGAGAGGCACTCTTGAAAACAAAAAAAATGTGTATTTTTTTTTGCTTTCGCGAGAGGCATGGTTTTGCTTTTGCGAGAGACGCGATTTTGCTTTCGCGAGAGGCACGGTTTTGCTTCCGCGAGAGGCATGATTTTGCTTTCACGGGAGGCGCGGTTTTGCTTCCGCGAGAGGCACGGCCGTGCCTCTCGGAACGATAAAACATGTTATTTTTCCTTCCGCGCCGTGCCTCTTGGAAACAAATTCTTTTTTTTCATTAGAGGCACGATTTGTTCGCCTGGTTTTTTTGAGAAAAAAAATCGTCAAAATCTATCAACATAGGATCTAATTTTGAATATCTCGACACAAGGAATCCGACGATGAAATCGGTCGAGATTTAGACGCATGGTTTAAAAGATAAAATATTTTAAATAAATGAATCTAAAAAAAAATCTCAAGTTGCGACGAATGACACACGTGCAGTGCGGCTGAGAGGCTCTTTTTTGCATCGGCTGGGCCACACAGGACACCAAACGGGCTGGTTTTTGCACGCCCGTTGCGAGCCAGAGAAACAAACGCCGCCCCTAGGGTTTTTCGTGTGCACAACCAAACCCGGCGGCGCCCTCATCCGGCCGTCCCCACTTCCCCCCCGCCATCCGGCGCCCTCCTCCGCAGCGCCCGGCGGCTCGTTTGCTCGCGCGGCCGCCCCTTACCGGCGACACCCCTGGACTTTCCCCGTCTCGGGCAGGCAGAGAAACGGCGATGACGGCCGCCGCCGTCGCCGGAGCGGACGACGAGAGGAAAGCGCAGGCCCTCGTGCGGTAATCCCCCCTCGCTTCCCGCGCGTCCCGTCGTCGTTCCGCAGAATCGCTCGCCCGGAAAATACCAAGGAGGGTTCACACGAGTTTGGTTTTGTTCATTAACAGGGATGACGCGCCCAAGCTGCTCGCCGCTCTCAAGGAAATGAAGGACGGGCTCGACCTCGTCAGGTCCAAGGTCGAGTCGCTCACCCGCAAGGTACCCCCGCTTTTCCCCTCGCGGGCTCCCCGTCCCACGCTATGATTGTGATGATTATGCCCGAGTTTAGCCGCCGGAATTTGGATGTGATTCTGGTTAAGCTTTTGGGGGGCCATGGAGAAAATGAAGAAAATTCTGTTGAATTTTGTGTGGTCTTGTTTAGGAAGAACCTAAACATGGGCATTTAGTTAATCTCGCTTCCAAACATCAGCCTGCAAACATGGAAGCCTATTAGTAGGCAGGAAGAAGGAGCAACAGGGCTGGAAAAGAAAACTACTCACTCTGATCCATAATACCGTAGTTCAAAACTGCGACACTTATTTTGGATCGGAGGGAGTACTGATTAAACAACACCAGTAGTTAGTCTCTAACTTGCCATAGTTCCCATCATCTTCAAGCCGAAGCACAATATCAATACAATGAAGCCTAAAAAACATCTTAATCAACACCTCCAATCAATCAAGCCCTGTTGACTGAGAAAACCGGAGAATAGAAGGGAGCGACATAAATACAGAACAGAGGGCATGGTGGCCATCACCAGTTAATGTGAGACCATTTTTAGCCTACTTGTAATTGACTCACGACCAAACATTCTTTCTGCAACCAAGTGCCTCCCTAAGGTCTTTCAGCTAGGTACCAGGACAAATAAAGGATAGGGAACAATACATGCACTGGTCAGCAGCCTATGCTTGCACTGATCTCTTATCCTAGGTATTGCATGAATGTCACATTTAGTCAAACAGATAGCGACTCGATCACATTTTGAATTCTTGAGAATCTATAAGAAGTGCCAGTGCACCAGGTATGATAGGTGCCGGCAAAAGGAACACAGAAACATGTCCCCCCAAGTGCACACTTTCAATCTCAGTTGTTGGTCTTTGGCAGATTCTGCTGCTTCCGGTCTGAAAATTAGTAACATTTTCAGGTCAGATGAGATCAAAATCTGGCTGTAAACAATCTTTAGTTTAGAAAACCTAGAAAAGGACCAGTCTGGAGAGCTGTATGCACAAACAGAGGTGCAAGGAAGCTACCACCTATTCCAACTGAGACACTATTTATTAGGGTTTTGTTGCCCCAGCTTGCATTTCAAGAAGTAGCGGCGATTAATCTTTACTGTTTCTGCTATATTTGCCAAGTTAAGAGATTTGTTTCAAAATTTACCCATGAGCCACTTTTAAGAGTTTCTGGAAACTGCTTGATTTTATCTCTAATAATAGCCCAGACTTCAGGAACCACATTCACCCCATCACTGTTTATGACTGCATCTCTTGGAGCCCTTAGAGCCACATAATCACTGATCTGTTCTCTGTACTATTTGTCTGACAAGCAAATCAATCAAGTCAACTTTGACATGTCTTCCATCCATTCCTAAATCCTAATGTTAGCTTTTGGGTGGGTGGCAAAAACTGACAATTCTGTTCAATTTTCTGTGTGCTGTAGGTTAGGAAAAACCAGCTGCCGACAGGCGATGGCATTGGGTACCTGGAGGCCAAGCACCATCTGCTGCTGAGCTACTGCCAGGACCTCGTCTACTACCTGCTACGCAAGGCCAAGGGACTGTCCGTCGATGGCCACCCCGTCGTGCGCAGCCTTGTTGAGATCAGGCTGTTTCTTGAGAAGGTGTGGGCGCCCTTAAGTGTTGATTGTTAAGCTGTCAGTCTCCATTTTTGCAGCTGTCTAATAGTAGATGGTGTTATGTTTTCTGTGTGCTAGATTCGCCCAATAGACAAGAAGATGGAGTACCAGATCCAGAAGCTCACCAATGCTGCAGATGGTGCGACTGCCCAGGATAAGGCGCCAGACGCTGAGGTCAATGTCAAGGGCAGGCAGCAAGGCGAGGATGACCTGTTGGGGTACCGGCCAAACCCGGATATGATGGATCCCAAAATTGCTCCTGAAGGACAGGTGAAATTCTCACTAACTGATGTTTTCCCTTGTATGTGTTAAGGTGATAATGTTTGACTGTTCGTCACTCTGTTCACGCTGACACACACACCAATCAGTTACCGTCAAAATTTGTGCATTGAATTTAGCAGCTTCTTTAGCCCAAACATCAATCAATGAATCTTATATACTCCCTCTGTTCCCAAATATAAGTCTTTCTAGAGATTCTATCAAGTGACTACATACGAAGCAAATTGAGTGTATCTACACTCTAAAATATGTCTACATACATCCGTATATTCTAGTCCATTTGAAATGTCTAAAAAAGACTTATATTTAGGAACGGAGGGAGTATATTTTTATGACATCAAATCTATCCATCCTTACCGAGCTGTTTTCTGTACATAATATAGTTGTCAGTTGGATGAGAAATCGATATTTTCAGTGCAGTGTCTTGCAGAATCAAATTAAGTTGCTACTTAGCAACTTCTGATGAATCCGAGATTTTACACTGTTAACTTGGTTTATGTGCCTGGTTCTAAGTGGACTGTATCAAGCTTATATTGTTGCTTTTGTGGATACTGCTACCCGTTGCTTAAATGCTGCCATATTCTAACTGCACTATTCCTGTTAATGACGTGAATATAGGTCACTCTGTTTTATATCAGTAATGATGATTTCATGACTAGAGTTCAATTTACACAGATTTGTTGTGTCTGATGTGTGTAGCTGTTTGACTTCAGGGCAAAGATGGTATCTACGTTCCTCCGAGAATTGGGCCAGCTGCCATGGATGATGGTCATAGTAAAGACGCTATAAGGAAAGAGAAAAGATTATTGCGTATGGCAACAGAGAATCCTTACTTTAAGGAGATGATTGATGATGCCGCGGATAGACCTGAAGAGGTTTGTATATTTTGTCTTTTTGTATAGTTGGCTACACTAAGCTACATCGAGGTAACTAAGTTTTCTGCGCAATGTTGCAGTGGAAGGAAACAGCGGGTGACGAAAGTAAAGAATTTATGGCCTACATGCGGCAGAGAGAGAAGCAAGAGAAGGCGGAAGAGGAGCTGTTCACCCGAGCTCCCGTAACCAAACGTGAAAAGTACATGGAGAAGCAGATGAAAAAGCAGCTTCATGGGTATGTTGTTCCATCGTTCTACAGAGTTTATGGATTTTCTCTTGTGGTACAGGCTTCCCCCTTATAAAGTGAACCCACCAGCCACATGAGTTTAATGAAGATAGCTGTGGCCACATTTAGCTGAGCTTACCCTTTTAAGATCTTTTGCTTTTCCTAACCAACTTATGAACTGGCATGTTTCTGTGTACAGGTTACAAGGCCTGACCGACGGATTCGACCTTGGGATGAACACGCTGCTCGATGGCGAGAAGGAAGACGACGACGGTGGTTCCAGTGAGCCGCGTAGACAGAGCGCGGGGCGGAGAAAACACCAGAAAGGAGGCAAGAGGAAGCGGCATTAATTCAGACCTGACAATGATAGTCCTCTGAAATTTTGCCGTGTTCTCAATCCAAACAAGAGATTTTGGTACCACTAGAAACTGAACCAATTGTGCACCGTAGGAACAGAGATGAATTTTGCCTAGAAGCAGCAGTTTTGTCCTTGAGACGATTGCCGCTTGTTTATCCTCAGCTGTTTGCCTGTGTTTTCCGGTTCCGACCCCTTTGAATCTGTTATGTGTATGAAAAGCTGCTCTGTTGAGTATGAGAGTATGATCAGAGAACTGCGAAAGTGCACGGTGGTTACCCATTCCAACATCGATCTCCACGTAAAATTAGTCTGGCCTTAATCCTGATCATTATTGCCAAAATCCACCATCTGTTGGATGTTCCATTTTTCATATTGAAAAAAAAAACATGTGACACTCTACAGCAGTACAAAAATTGAACAGCACAGTGCCCACATACCCATACACTCCACATAACACATGCTCCATTACAGGCAACCTGGTCGACCATTACATAATTTGAGCAGCACATACTCAATTACATAATTTCTCATGTCTTCAAGATGTTCCAAGCATCAATCTGGGCCCTTTCTTCAAGAAGCAGTGGATATTTCCTGCCTAGATTGAACAGTCAGAAGGTCCATCAGCTGATGTTTGAAGCTCCCTAAAACGAAGTAAATTTGCAGCAGGTTACGCAAGAACTGAACTGAACTACTAAATTTGCAACTGCCAAGAACTGAAGATGGCTGCTATATAGGTTAGTGCCAGATAACAGCAGAGCGACATCTTAACAATGGCAAAGCCAAGGGACATGCTGCCACTGCTAGGAGGAAGGGAACAATGAAAGTTGGATAGATTGAAACCTGGAAGAAACGCCAGAACTAATCGCCCTTTCCAGCATAGACCGTTCGATTTGTATTTATATCCGGTGGCGAGGCATGAGTACATGGTGACGTGGCATGCTACTCTTTTTGAATCCTTCCATCAAAACTTCGTTACTTTGAACACTGCCAAATCTGGAGTATGGATGTTAATATTGCATTTTCTAAAGCGTAGCGGATAGAGGTGGTGCTGACAGGGCTTCCCCCACTACGAAATATATATTCAAAAGGTTGATGCGGGTTACAACAATATCATCTTTTAGTACTTATTTATCATCAGTATTAAGGGTAAGACTCCAAATGCGTAACCTTTTGTTCCCTACAAGATAGGAACACATCAGAGATTCATTAGAGTTGAAGAGGACAACATCCAGGGCTACAATAATTGTAGCGAGGCAACCAGGAACTAGCCATGAGTAGTGAGGTGTGAAAAACATTGATGTTTGTCCTGCTTTCAACAAACACTTATATTCAGTGCTATCTTTTTCCATAGCATTGCACGGGCATTCAACTAGTATCTTTGTAAGTCTAAATCTGGAGGATGCACTATACCTCCTTTGGCTGGCATCCTCTAGAGCCGTAAAATATCTGTACCTAAAAAGTGACTTCTTGTCTAACCCTGCATTGCATGTCCCGTGTTCCGCCTCAAATTTGACACATCTTGTTTTTTGTGGGATTTGTGCCCCCTGTCCGGCTAAATGTGTTGGATTTAAGTGGCTGCTGGATCTTAACGGGAGATGCCATCTCAATTCAACATTTCGTAGGCATCACCTGGTGACAGAGGTGAGACATGAACTAATGCAGGAACTTCAACCAAATCGTGGTGGTACTTCACAAGTCTAGGATACTTCCATGGGCAAAAACAAAAGCTGTTAATGGCTTGTCTGACTGAATTGATGGAGATCCAAGACTCCAGTGTTACACGGTGTGCGGCTTCCACCAGAACTGAGAAGGATGGAATGAGACAAGTTCTGATTTAGTACTTTTCTCGTGCACTTCAGTCTGGGCATTTTATTAAATAGTGCAGCTATTTTGACTCTCTCACTGCATACTGCAAACTGTCTGACAGTTGTGATATGAAGAATTAGCCTGTACAGTACTCCCTCCGTCCGGAATTACTTGTCATCAAAATAAATAAAAGGGGATGTATCTAGACGTATTTTAGTTATAGATACATCCTTTTTTATCCATTTTGATGACAAGTATTTTCGGACGGAGGGAGTATGATCCATATACTCTTGTGATACTGATGTATGTATTCAGTCAGCTTGTCTGTTTTAACAGAAGGCTTTTGTATTATGTTGTCAGATGCGACCATGGGTTCAAACGGTTGATGCTTCTGGATCTAGAATGAATTTTTGTCTTCATCATGTGTATGTATTTGTCATTTTGATCACCCTCAACCTTATGAGCAGCACATGGTAACCCAAGGAGAGTCCATGAAGTGCAGCATTTTCCATGTAAACATTGTTCCTGGATGTGGACTAAATGGATCATTTTGTTCCTTCCTGGGTGGAAAACAACTAATTTCATTCCCCCTACTGGGAATTAAATGGATGTATTTATTCTTCTAACCAGCTATCAGCTAAGGACTTCCGGAAGTAATCCAAGTATACCCAAAAAGATAAGAAACATGCTGCTAGTCAAGTTTGTATTGTTCATATGACTTTACATACTCTATAACTTTATGATAGACTAACTATACAGAAACAACATCTAATCCTTTGCAAAATCAATGGTTTAGAAAAGCTAAAAAAAATGAACATCAGTTAGTGTTTACCAGCAAAAAGGCCATGCTGAGCAAGAAACCTCTAGAGTTTCTTAAGCAAAAAACCAAACCTGCTCATCAATCGCCATTCACAGCTCACCAGTACTCTCCGCATGAGCATTTCCCATCTTTCATCCTATGGAACCTGTTGCTATCTCTCAGTATTACCTCCCTTCCAGTGGATTTAGAGATATACTTGATTGCAGAATGGCAATCTGCGCACACACGGAGATTCTTAAAGATCCTTATTGGTTTTGTTGGCGATGTAGTAATCAAACCAAATGCCACAGCAATCTTCTCACTGTGCTGGAGCAGACACTCCTCCTTGAGCTCATCCGACATGTCATGGAGCACGATGCTTGTGTCTGGTACGTAGCCAATGTCTTTAATTTCTCTGATCAACGCAGACAACTTTGCATAGATCTCTTGTGCTTGCGGATGGCCGGTGTCACCAGCTCTGAACTCGTGAATCGTGTTTCCAACATGCATCCAACTCAAGCCAGTTTCTTTACTCAAGTTCTTGTGTCTCATCAGACTCCTTATTCTTGCGACTTCGTCCCATAAACCACCATGGGCATACAAGTTTGAGAGAAGGACATATGGAGCTGGATCTCGCGGCTCGAGATCTATGACATGATTGGCTGCAATTTTACCAATCTCAATATTATCGTAAGTCCTACAAGCACCGAGGAGAGTCTTCCAAATCAATGCATTCGCTTTACAGGGCATTTCATTAATGAACTCCAGGGCTTCTTGAACAAGATCTGATCGTGCAAGAAGATCCACCATGCAAGCATAATGTTCCATCCTCGGTACGAGTCCGTGATCCTTCTGCATTGATCTGAAGTATTCCTTTCCTTTTTTCACCAGACCAACATGGCTACAGGCGGATAACACAGCAATGTATGTGACATCATTTGGTTTGACACCGGATAAGATCATGTCATGAAACAATGACACCGCTCGTTCCGCGTGCCCATGCTTGGCTAAGCCACTGATTACTGAAGTCCATGAAATCACATTATGGTCGTCCATCTCATCAAATGCTCGACAAGCATCATCCAAATATCCACACCTAGAATACATGGAAACAAGGGAGTTGCTTATACCTTGATCAGACTCAAAGCCTGCTTTGATTGAAAGCGCATGCAGTTGCTGACCCTTGGTTGGCAACCCTACAGTGGTAGCAGCACTAAGCAGACTAGCAAATGTGAAGGTGCTGACTCCGACGTCCATGCTCTCAATCTGAGAACTCCAAGAGGCATTGCTGCTCTCGGTTCCACCAATATCAGAACTGGTGGAAAGTATGTTCCTTTCATAAAGCTGGTCGAACGCCTTTCTAGCCTCCTCCATGCAACCAGATTCAGCATACATGCTGACCAGAGCATTCCCAACAACGTTTACATTCCCTATGCTGGTTTTCATGACACGGGCATGAATCTGTCTGCCTGAATCTTGATCAGAAAGGTTTGCACAGGCCTTAAGAAGACTAGAATATGTGATGTGGTTTGGTTCAATGCTCTCATTTAACATTTCGCAGAGGAGTTCTATTGCATTGTTTTCCTGTGCTCCACATTGCACATATCCTGATATCAGTGCTGTCCATGACATGACGTTATGTGTGGGCATTCGTTTGAAGACTTTCCTTGCACATTCCATGGACTGTTCCATTTGTAATTTTGCGTACATGTCCACAAGTCCACAGCTCACACAAGTATCAGAAACCAGCCCCAGACGTAGTACTAGAGAATGCAGTTGCTGCCCGAATCTGACTGATCCTTGCTCTGCACATGCCGAAATCATGCTGCTCATGGTGTATCCGTCGGGCTCAAAACCATTTTCTAGCATGCCAAGAAATAATTCAACCGCCTTGCCTGCACACCCGCCTTGCACATACCGTGTAATCATCAGAGTCCAGACGACCACTGTCCTCTCAACCAACCCATCAAACACCTTCCGTGCTGCCACCAGGTCTCCGTTCCTGGCGAACATATCAATCAAGGCGCAGCCCACCGACACGTCAGTGCCCCAGAACCCCGTCTTGAGCACAAACCCAAGGACCGCGGCGCCAGACAGGCGAAAGAGCTCCCCCGGAAAGCAGGCACGAGCGGCTGCGCAGAGCGTGAACGCGTTGGGCCGGAGCCCCGACTCGAGCATCTCGCCGAGGAGGAGCAGGGCCTCCTGCTCCGCGCCGTTTCGCGCGAGGCAGAAGGCCATTGCCGTCCAGGACACGAGGTCCCGCAGGCCGCGCATTCCGTCGAACACCCTGCGCGCGGCGCTCACGTGGCCGCACTTGGAGTACATGGTGAGGAGCGAGTTGGCGACCAAGGCGTCGGTGTCGAGGATCTCGGCGCCGAGGAGGCGGC